ATAGCTGCGTCGGAGTAACGGCAACGAAAGAAATATCGATGAGAGCAGGGTGCTCGTAATTTTTCACAGGCGGCTCGCTTCCCCTCTTTTTCGCCCGTATTTCGAGCCCCACTACTATTCCCCTCATGCGCCTTGGCTGACCATGCCTAGCATACCCCCATCAAGTACCAGATCCCACCATGGTCGCGTCGTCCCCACTTTCCGGCCCTGTGAAAAATTACGAGCACCCTGGATGAAAGGGGAAGAGGAAGGAGTGATGCACCAGAGAGATACACCAACTAAGATAGGATGCAACAGAAAAGGAGAAGCCCAATAAACGTAAACCACACTCACACACACAACGACAACTATAGATTTAAATTCATTCTGAGTGCATTTGTGAAAGTCCGTACTTGTGGGTGAAACATTCGCCGACAGATGTTTGGCATTCTTTGGACGTCGTGTCTACATAATCGTAGATGTGAACGTGAACATCTGTGATGTTATGGTCGACCGCAGGATCGATCAACTCTCCCGAAGATGTATACGTTTTGAAGTTGAAAGGCATGTTCGGCATCGGGTGGTCCGTGAGGTTCAGTGGACTTGCCAAATCGTTCGCCACGTTTCCTCTTTCTCCGTCAATCCATTGTGCACCCAAGTCGACCAAGTAATCATCTGTAACCATTATGTGAAGAAGTGAGGAAGGTAGTAGAACAGTGAAGGCGTGCTTAACACTAGATTGCCCAAGCAAGTCATTTTGACTGCTTTTGGGCAATATAGGTATATACTAAGTTTCAGTCTTTCTAGTGTTAAAAGAGAAAAGAAAAAAATCAGAGGAATCAAGGGGGAGGAGTAGAAAGAATAGAGTGCATGAATAGAAATGGTTGGAATCAAAGTGGATTAGAATAACTGAGAAATAGTGGGCGAGATATAATAGAGGTTGTGATGGGCAGAGATAGGGAGGTACAAGGCCAAGAAACGAGCGAACAAGTTTGAAGGGGCAAAATACAATAAAGTTTGCAAAAACATTACATGGTATGCGGTTCCAGAATATCCGATAAAAGACGCAAAGAATAATAGTCACAAGTTAATGGCGAGAGTAAGATGTGGTAACGTCGGGAGCAGAAAACCTCGGGAGCGGCAAACATATAGTATAATAACACTATTCCTGATCTCGAGGTTCGCCATTTTGCTCGGTCTCTTTCGCGCTCTCGGTTTCTTTTCCCCTCTCGCTTTATTTGCCGCTGCCGAGGCTTGACGCTGTCGGCCCAGCAGAGGTTTGACTCGAGCACAACAGACCGGGCGCGCTGTATGTTACCCACACATTTTTTCTTTTACACGCTTTTCCCTATACCTCCATTTCCCTTAACTACGGTACTGCCTGTCCGTATTTCCGTTCTTGGGTACCCCAATTTCGCTCACCGGCATTGAGCGGAATCTTGAAACGGAAAACGCAGTGCGAATAGGCCATAGAAGTGAGTAAGAACCTACCGCCCCTCAAAAAGGTTTCGGGCCTTATCTTAGAAGACCGATCCAGATTCAGCACAGTGTTTATAACCCAAGCCTTCATTAATAAACAGCCATATACAAAGATTGGCATAATAGCCTCGTGTTATAAATACGATGTGGAGGGGTATGTACAGTTTCTTATAAATATAAGATTCATTTTTGTTATCTTTATTTATAAATAATCNCCCACCATGGTCGCGTCGTCCCCACTTTCCGGCCCTGTGAAAAATTACGAGCACCCTGGATGAAAGGGGAAGAGGAAGGAGTGATGCACCAGAGAGATACACCAACTAAGATAGGATGCAACAGAAAAGGAGAAGCCCAATAAACGTAAACCACACTCACACACACAACGACAACTATAGATTTAAATTCATTCTGAGTGCATTTGTGAAAGTCCGTACTTGTGGGTGAAACATTCGCCGACAGATGTTTGGCATTCTTTGGACGTCGTGTCTACATAATCGTAGATGTGAACGTGAACATCTGTGATGTTATGGTCGACCGCAGGATCGATCAACTCTCCCGAAGATGTATACGTTTTGAAGTTGAAAGGCGTGTTCGGCATCGGGTGGTCCGTGAGGTTCAGTGGACTTGCCAAATCGTTCGCCACGTTTCCTCTTTCTCCGTCAATCCATTGTGCACCCAAGTCGACCAAGTAATCATCTGTAACCATTATGTGAAGAAGTGAGGAAGGTAGTAGAACAGTGAAGGCGTGCTTAACACTAGATTGCCCAAGCAAGTCATTTTGACTGCTTTTGGGCAATATAGGTATATACTAAGTTTCAGTCTTTCTAGTGTTAAAAGAGAAAAGAAAAAAATCAGAGGAATCAAGGGGGAGGAGTAGAAAGAATAGAGTGCATGAATAGAAATGGTTGGAATCAAAGTGGATTAGAATAACTGAGAAATAGTGGGCGAGATATAATAGAGGTTGTGATGGGCAGAGATAGGGAGGTACAAGGCCAAGAAACGAGCGAACAAGTTTGAAGGGGCAAAATACAATAAAGTTTGCAAAAACATTACATGGTATGCGGTTCCAGAATATCCGATAAAAGACGCAAAGAATAATAGTCACAAGTTAATGGCGAGAGTAAGATGTGGTAACGTCGGGAGCAGAAAACCTCGGGAGCGGCAAACATATAGTATAATAACACTATTCCTGATCTCGAGGTTCGCCATTTTGCTCGGTCTCTTTCGCGCTCTCGGTTTCTTTTCCCCTCTCGCTTTATTTGCCGCTGCCGAGGCTTGACGCTGTCGGCCCAGCAGAGGTTTGACTCGAGCACAACAGACCGGGCGCGCTGTATGTTACCCACACATTTTTTCTTTTACACGCTTTTCCCTATACCTCCATTTCCCTTAACTACGGTACTGCCTGTCCGTATTTCCGTTCTTGGGTACCCCAATTTCGCTCACCGGCATTGAGCGGAATCTTGAAACGGAAAACGCAGTGCGAATAGGCCATAGAAGTGAGTAAGAACCTACCGCCCCTCAAAAAGGTTTCGGGCCTTATCTTAGAAGACCGATCCAGATTCAGCACAGTGTTTATAACCCAAGCCTTCATTAATAAACAGCCATATACAAAGATTGGCATAATAGCCTCGTGTTATAAATACGATGTGGAGGGGTATGTACAGTTTCTTATAAATATAAGATTCATTTTTGTTATCTTTATTTATAAATAATCCAACACTCATCGCTTGTTGGTCTATTGTATTAAAATTCTCTTATATGAACACATTATTTGTAAGAGTAAATAACACGTAGGAAACTTGAGAGCGAAGGCGCAAGATAAGAAGGCGTTCAGGACACGAACGTTTTGTTTAAGGTTCGATAACGATGCAGAGGGTCCTGTTCGTTGGGAAAAACGTTGCGTAGGACACATTCGGATAAAGAACGAAAAACGAATCGAAGGAACACTTTTCAGTCGACTGTAGACCGAGTCACATCGTATTCCTTTTCCCGGCTTTCGCTGTTTTGTTGAACAAGATTTCGTTGATCATAACGATTGAAGTTTTAACTAATGAATTCCTGACCTTCTTAAACTACGTTTCTTACAATTCAGGAGTGGGCTGTACCACGTGTGAGTGGAGTTATTGTGAACGAACGCAGTTTTCTTGGACGTTTTTAAGCAATTTATTTTCGGACGTTGTACGCATAATTGTGTTGTGAATTATGGCACGGAAGAATGGCAAATCGTGTCAACGTTCGCGTGTGCGTGGTCGAACATCCGAACGGGAATAATCGGAGGATCGATCCGGTGAGAGAAGTCGGGCAAGAACGCATAGTCGTTCGCGAGATGGTTCGCGAAATCGGAAATGTGTCCGAAGAAATGTTCGCGACCGATCACGTGAGTGCGGACGAGAACGTCTCAGTCTTTCGCATGAACGGCGTCGAGATTATTCGCGGGAGCGACGACGAAGTTATTCGCGAGATCGC